TTATTTGTCATGTTATAGTTTTTTTTAAAGAGATGTCATGTCATATTTCCATGTCATATTGTTTTGGTAGAGTAAATATGGAAATGACATCTAATCAAAATCTTGAGTTATGATTTGAAAATCGAGGATGTTTGTTGTTTTCTATAACTTATAATTAATAATTGCTTTCTCTCTATACATTTTCATGTATATACAATTTTGTGAGTTTTTTTCATGTATTATGCATCGTGTTTGGTTTATCAGAAAATGTCTCTATGATCAACATGAAAACCAGTTTTATGAAACTGTCTTGAATTTTTTTCTTAATTTTGCGTTTTACATATCGAACTCATGTTAAGATTTTGTAGTTTTTTATGATTAGTTTGATTTCTTTTACATGGTTTTAGCTTTGATGAATGACTTTGTTAGACGTTTCTCAACATGTTTTATTTTTGTTCTTTTGGGTCATATATTTTTAAAAATTCATACGCTGATCTTAATGAGCTACATTTTCTACAAGTTTTTCTTTTCTCTTATGCACTCAGTTTTAAGGTTATAATATGCAGTAACAATACGACTATACATGTCCTTTCCAACTCTATTTTTTTTTTTTTGGTCGAAAACAATTTTTTCATTAAATTGTTAAACAGGGATTAAACCACGGTTAGTTGTTGCATCACATAGAGCTGTTTTTGCCAGGGTATCAGCCTCGACGTTTGACGATCTAGGGACATAAGCGAAAGATACATTGAGCTCCGTCGTGATTTTTTTTTACATCTTACATGATTCCGTAGATATCGAGATGGAATTGGCCGGATTTTGCGAGTTTGATCAATTGGGTCGAGTCCGATAACATGGTGAAGTTCTTAAGCTTCAATCTTGCTGCTTGTGATAGTGTTTCCCTCATCGCCGCCGCTTCATCCATCAATGGTGAGCCGATCCAACTCTATTCTAATAGACTTTTCAATCATTCAATATATCAAAGATCAGCACATCAACTTCTCTGAGAATTATTCACAAGGTAACAAGAAGATTTGAAGAGATAAAAG